CATATCATCTTATGTAATATCTTTCCTTTCTCTAAATGTTGTTATACAATCGATATTACGTAGTTTGTATAATCGCGTTACTCTTACGCATATCTATGTATGGTTGAGCCTCATTCTCTTTCTGTCGTAACGTGCTTCTCATGTTGTATTTTTTTTTGTTCATTCTTCTCTCTCGTATATAAACTTGTGTTTTATATGAAGAAAAGAGAACTGAATGATGAAGTAGTGTAATGAACATTGTATACCGAGGATAGCAGTAACACTGCTTCTCCAGTTTCTCATTGTGATCACATCTTGTATCAAACGTACCGTATCTTCGACAAATATTTTATCAAGTGCTGAATATATATTTTTCACAAAAACATCATTCAACCGAATTTGAATGCTGTTGAATAAAAATCAATACGAGAATTATAGACTACATCGTTATGAATCGTCTCAACTAATTGTTATTGCTGTCTGCATCGTGTTATAAAGCCTAGTGATGATGGAGCTTCAGCATCTTCTTCAAAAGCTTTATTAAACCTAGGCAATACGTAATTTAATGTAAATTTTTTTATTATTTGAGATGTTGTTGAGATTGTTAAAGAATTATCTGATAGTTGTTAGATCATTTAATCAAGTATTACATAAGTAAATTGTGAAGTATTTGAACTTAATCAAGATTGATTTGCTGTATACCAAGTCGATAGAAAATCTTTCAGCTGGTCCTGATGATCAACAACGTAATGTTCAGTATCGGGATTGAAATCATCCAAAATGATACATTATTTTGCTCATTGGAGTGCTCTTGATGTATAAATATATCTAATCATTTTTCATTTAATGTCGCAATGGTGCTAAAATAAAAAAAAAAGGAAACAGAAAAAGAAATCACAACTGATCATTTTATACAAATGAATGAACACTTACTTAGTGATATAACAAACACTTTCTTTCAATATCTTTGATTTTTTTCGAACGTTATTTTAACACAAAATAGTTGATTTGGTAATAATGCTATCAACTTTAATAAACGATAATACTTTTTCAATTGGTCATGAACTTAAATTTAACAGCAATACAAACTCAATTTCTTCTTCTAAAATAAATTTGAAATTAGACTCAAACATCATTTGAATGAGTAATTCATCAATACATTTTAATTTATTCGTATATTCATCAAAAACATTCTCGACCAACCAGACAAAAACGTTTGCATTAGTCCATTCTATAGACAATATGTATAACTAAAATATATTAGAAAATAATAGTTAATCTTTCACACTCTGGTTTATTTTGAACATTTTTAATTTTTGTAATATTATTCATATATGAAAATTAAATTATTATTCGTATAAGAATAATTCCTATGAATTATTTCTCATAAATTATGCAGTGAAACGAATGAACATCTGTAAATTTAAAAAAAAAAAATTTTTGAACTTGATCACAATATGATTTTATTTCATTGAGAAAATTACGTATTGCATCTTTCATTTCGTGATCAATGATATCAACTAATTTTGTAAAATGGTATTAAGAAACATATTGTGATTAATACCATGATTTTCTCGAAATCGTAATTGATTTTTCGAATATTATTTATAACCAGTCTTGATTTTCCTTTTTTTTTCGAAAATGAGATTGTTAAAAAATCAAAATGAATTTTTGTTATTTAGGAAATCAAACATTTCTATAAATATTTTAAATTCAACCAATGAACAATAAAACTTTGAAAATACTGCAACATTTTTAAATTGATTTTCTAAAATATAGAATTCACTTAAAAGTCACAATATATTTATACTTTATTAAATTACAAATGAAGTACGAATAATTTATATTTCAGATAAATATAAATTATGAAAAAAATTTATATTTGAAAATAAAGATAAATTACCATAATTTATAATTATTTTAAATCTAAATAATGATAATATGTATTTATTTTTAAAATATAAATCGTTTTTTTTTCATAGTTGCTATTTAAAAATAAACATAAATTGTGATAATTTATATTTATTTTAAATTAACAGAAAAATGATATCCCTACTCATCATGTAGGAACTAAATATATTATTAGGGAATCTAAAATAATTTCTCTTTCTGTAAAGGCAATGAGAATGACATTAGTGCATAAAAACTATTTGTGTGATATCGATTTTTGTTCTTACTTTGATTTTATCATAGAAGAGAAAAAGTTACCTTGGATTAAACCTATGATTAAATTATTCAAGATGTAAAAGCGATGGACATCACTGCATTGAATGACAGACAGGTGCTAATCAATTTTTTTCGCTGCACATCTTATCATACGCATCAGATAGGAATGAAATATATCATTAGGGAGCTTGTTATCTTCTATCTTTCTGTCAAGACAATGATAACGACTCTAATTCGTAAACACTATTTTTTTCACATTGCCTATCCTTCTTGCATTGATTTCATTATAGGAGAGAAAGACAAATATGATATTACATGTATGGTTAATTTATTTAAGGTGAAAAACCGAGGGACATCGCTGTATTGGATACAAGCTATTTGTTAATTTTTTTTGGTTGTGTATTGTCAGTATTCATTAGATAGAAACGAAATATATCATTATGGAGCCTATAATAATTTCTATTTTTGTCAAGGCAAGGAGAACGACTTTAACGAGTAAAAACGATTTGTGTGATATTACCTGTCCTTGTTGCTGTGGTTTTATCATACAAGAGAAAATGATAATTATCATTGCGACTATGGTTAATATATCTGAGATATAAAAGCAGGGTGTCCATGTATTACTTAGCAGCAACTTGCTTGTCATTTTTCTCTATTAGGTATTTTGTATATGCATCAGGTAAGAATGAAATAGATCAACATGGAGTATGTCATCTTCTGTCTTTCTGTCGAGTGAGGGAGTATGACTGTATAGGATAAACACTAAATTGGTCATATTACTTCTGGTTCGTGGTCTAATATGCTTCTACAGCTGACAAAGATACTTGCTATTGCGGACACGTTAATTTGTCTAGAGTTTCAAAAGGTGAAGCGGTACTTTCCGAAGAGAAAGTAGTAATGCGCTGTCTTGTAGGTAGCTTGGGATAAAGTGTGCAGAGTAGTGGTATATTCATTAGTTCATTATTCCAGAACAACTATTGGTAGCTGTAGTTCAATTCAAAGGCAGGTCTTCATTAGATTTCCTATGCTTAATCACTTGAGCAACCCAAACACACTAACTAACTATATCAAGGGGGGAAAAGCTGGTTCTGGAGGTCGGAATCAGTTGGAATCGGTCGGAATCAATGGAATCACTCGGAATCAATCAGAATCGCTTAGAATCACATAGAATCTTATGGAATCAATCGTAAAAAAATGCCTGCTTCTACTCGCCAATCAGCTTTTTTCATGCCGCGGTCTCAGCCAATCACACCTTTTCATGGCGCTGCTTTGGCCAATCAGGTTTTCCCATATCGCGGCTTCGGCCAGT